CCAAATATTCAGATGTGTGCAGCACATTTTATGGAGGACTGTTTCCTGATCCTGGAAGAGTAGACTACAATGCCGGCTGTTCTGACTCACAGACTGTAAGTACGTTTTCATTTTAAGGATTTGCCACTGATGATTCAAACGTGAGTTTTGTGCAGTGTAGAGTAGCACTTGTTGTTTGTCATTTCTCCAATCACAAATGCAGACATGGTTTTATGTTTACGCGGCGTGATGCAACGCAACGCGAAAAAAAGACAGTATAAGTCATTATAATCCGTAATCATGTCCCCACTGGATGCAACAAATGCCTCGTTTATAATGGGTTTTAATGTCTCGTCGCTCCGGCCGGGACACACCATCACAGTATGGTAAGGGGCGTAACATTTTCGTCACAAGCTTGAGGTATTCGGCCAATCACAACGCACTAGATAGCTGGCCAATCAGAGCACACCTCGTTTTTCAGACCGATGAGCTTTGTAAAAATCGACACGTTTCAGAAAGGCGGGGCATAGAGGAGAAACAATAATACACAGTATGTGGAAAATAATGTGTTTTTTAACCTTAAACTGCATAAACACATTTAATTACACCAAATACACAAAATAATGTTCTTTTTAGCAACATCATATGACCCCTTTAAACCTGTTTGAAAACCTTCATTATTTGTGCAGTTCTGTTTGGGCTACACTTAGTTGCGCAAAAACTACACACTTCACCTTTAAATGTACCTCAGCAAATCATGGCTCAGACTTGCAGAACTACAAAAATTCTCAAAGAGCTCAAGAGGGTGACCCAGATTTGCAGTACTTTTGCTCAATTACTTAACTTGACTGTGTCTAAACAGCCTTTACTTGACTGATTACCTCATGTCAAACAGGCAAAGATTCCTATCATACATTTAGCCTGACCCACACTAGTGAGCAATGCTTTCATTATGTGATGTGATTTACTTTCAAAAGCAGACTAGAATGACGTAGCATCATATTCTTTTGTACGAAAAATGTCTCAAAATGTGATGACGGCAAATCAGCTTCAAATACAAGCAGTTACTTGATTATATCCAAATATTTAAAAAAATAATAGTGTAATCAAGCCACACTTAATGTATGAATGTCTTAGGCTAGATAATAAGATCAGCATGTGTAAACAAATAACACTAGACTTTCTCTAAACTAACCTCTTTTCTGAGCCATTTTTTTTGCAACTAATTTTAACCAGCTCGTCCCAAAGTGATAGTAGCACGCACATATGAAGTCAATGTCCCTCAAGTTCACACAGGTGCTCTAACATAACCACAGGTGTAGCGGTTTGCCTGTCGGATGGATAAACAGACGGAAAATCCCATAAACTCACACTGCAAATGGATCATATCTCCAGAAAATTATATTTTATAAACTTGCAGTTGAGCGTATTTGGCTCAAGCCAACATGTAGCCATTCATAACACCATAGCAACTTCCTATTCCTGCCCTAGCAACCAGAAACAACACCCTAGCAACTGTACAAATGCCATTCAGGGGTCTCTCAAAGGCCATATCTCACAAGTTCCTTAGAAAAAGCCTTTGATCATAAACCTACAAAATGCAGCAGGTAACTAAAACAAACATGCACAGATTGTGAGTGATCTGAACCTGAACAGACCCTGTGCACAAAACTGGGATTGTCAAATTCAATTAACAAAGCAAGAGGACCAGCAAACAACAGCAGACACCAAAGAATCTCTTCGATGTAATCGATGCACACCCCTGACCACCCTGGTAACGGTTGTTATATTAATACGAAGTAATGCCATCTTATATTAGTAATTTCATCACCATAATCAGGTAAACAAGTCAGGTGATGTGATCACAAAGCTTAATCCCCATTCGTTTCCCCATTGATGTGTGCTGTGGGACACAAGGGGCTTTGTTATTAGTGAAGGATACTGGGTAGGCGGCACGGCTGACGGCGGAGGAGCGCTCTGGGCTCCCGGTGGTAACGACACGGAGGTCAGCGCTGCGCGGAGTTGCGTTGGCGGTGACGGTCCGGTTACGTGTCCACTAACAGCGACAGCGACCGGTTTCGGGACCACTTTCGGTGGCAAACTCATTGCAGAAATTTAAACCAAAACAAACAATACGCAGCTGAAATCGATCGCACGTTCCAACAATATCTGGCCGTTTCTTCTCTCTACGAAGGCCGGAACGTATGTATATCCTTATGCCATGGATTTCATTCAGATCTGGCTGTTAGTACCAAAATGTCATTTTATCTTTGAAGTCAGGGGTTGTAGCTGCTCTATGCATGGGGACGGTAGGGGGTTTGTATCCCCCTCCAGCCACCCTGGATCTCCCCGGTCGAATTGTTCTTCTCCGCCTCCTCAGATGGCCGTCTCCCGGTTTGTTTGCTCCGCTTTGCGTAGTAACATCACATTAGCGAGTCGCATTATATGAATTTCTCATAAAGATGGGAGACTTCGTTCAACATGGCGTTGTTGCGGCTGCTTCCAGCAGTCCGGCTGGACGGACGGCTCGGTAAACCTCGGGTGAGTTCGGAGATGCTCGGGTTCACTTTACGCCACTTCGTATTGATGGGAAGTCCGACACACTTCCAGGAATCGGTTCTTTCGAACACTTCGCTTCAAACACGCGGTTCGTAAAACGATTCAGTGGTTATTTAACGTCATGACGTAATTGCCTTCTCACGTCGTCCCTAACAGAGAGCTTCAAAGTTTATTTGATATTTTACACCCGATTTTATCATTTCATTATTTTTATATTATTGTATATTATTATTATTATTAAGAACGGAAATGCATGTATACTGTTAATGTTTATGCAATAAAAAGATGATCATTAAAACTAGTCATTTAGAACCGTGCATTGACAATAAACAGTACTAAACTTCATGAACATATGTGACCATGGACCACAAAACCAGTCGTAATGGTCCATTTAAAAATTAAAAATAAATTGAGATTTATACATCATCTGAAAGCTGAATAAATAAGCTCTCTTTGCCGTCTGCTCGACGTTACAGAGCTGCTACTTATGACTGGTTTTGTGGTCCAGGGTCACATATCTTGAATTAAAAATAAATATGCAACTATTTGTTTGTAAAAAACAACAACATTATATTTATTCATTATGTATGTTGCTAAAACTGTAAAACCGTCAAGACATAAACATATTTCCAGTATATTTTATGTGTTATTTCAGTTCTTAAGAGTCGGTGAGTTGTTGACTCGAGAACCACGATTCAGTTCGATCTGTGATTGAATCATTCAGGCCGGTTTTGTGAACCGGTTCATTGACAAGATCTAAAAAGAACGATTCGTTTACGAATCGCACATCGCAATATGCCATTGAAAGTGACGTCATAAAGGCAGTCCCCACATGCCTGCACTGTTTCACACAATGAATGGCATCTCCGTTACATTCCAAACCATCCATAATCAGTGTAAGAGACGAATGAGTTATAATACGCAATGTATTATAACTAAATATAAAACTGCAGTTTCACCTTAGGGGTCCCGCCCACATTTAGGTTGCAGTAGAAAGACTACTTCAAATTTTACTTACGTTTGAGAAAGGCTCAAATAAAATAGAATATCGAATAGAATATATACGTTTGCCTATGTTGTGAAGTATGTATTTTTGGGGTTAGATGGTAGGAGCCTGATAAGAACATTAGCTTGCTTTTTGATTTGGCATTTCTGTTGCTATTAATATATGTGAATGTGGCGACATCTGTTGGTCATACTTCCAGTAGACGGAGAGCCAAATTATAAACCACAAAATTACTGTTGAATCAACAATCATCAATGAAAATGACAGCGATTGCAATTTGTTAACATCAGTTAATAAACTAACAATAAGCGATATAAATATTAACTCTTGTGCTGTGCTGAAAAACTTATAAATATTTTAATGTTCCCAGTCAAAATGACCAGCCTTTTAAAAATTGCTTGTAAATTTGTAATTATGCTTTATCACCACCAAATCTTGGATTCACTTTTTTTTCCCAACTTGCTTTCAGTTAGCACAGGGTTTGTATTTCTTTTTGGAACTGACTGATCATTGGCCTCGGTGTTCTGCACATCAGTTTTTGAGTGGGAAAAAAAGCATTATTTGTGGATAAATTTAGGCAATATTCAGTTGACTTAGATGAATAAGATCAGATCAATGAGGCGGAGCAATCATTTCTAAAATCAAATACAAAACCTGTGCTAACTGAAAGAAAACATGTTGATAAATTGATTGAATCTAATATTTGGCAATGTAATAGCATTATGAGAAATTTACAAGCAATTTTTTGTAGGCCGGCCATTTTTGACTGGTTTAACAAGTTTAACAAGGTGGCGTTAACATTAATTGTTTATTAATGTTAACTAATGTTAACAAATGAAACCTTATTCTGAAGTGTTACCTATATTTCCTATTTATTTTGAGGGCAGAAGGGCAGTTTGAATTTGTGTGTAATAAAAATATTTTCCCAGCAATTTCCATAGTTTTAAAGGCACTTTCTTGTTTAGTGGTCCAACTACATATTGGGCCACATGTGACATTGTGAGTTGACAAAATCAAATTATTTGCCTGAGTTAAAGTTCATATTGTACAGGCAAATTCAACAAATAAGAAGTGATGGAACAGTCTTATAAAACTTGTCAACCATGTATTATGCTTGCACAATGTGTTGTGCAAGAATTGGTAAACATTACAGACAAAAAAAATAAATCCCACCAACAATGTAATACAGATAACTTAAATATTATTTCCTATTAGAAAAATAAAAGCATTTGCTAAAAAGGCACATATTCAAAGAAAACATATTTGCAGAAAGGAGAATTCCTTCTCTCATTATATTTAACCACTAACTTCCAGTGTTTTGAATGTTTGTAAGAACAACACTCCATTATATAGACTTCCTTGGAGTCCCTATTTACACCAATTCCCCATTAAGAGGCAAGTAATAGCTGGAAAATATGTCATCCACTATAAATCCACCAGCTTTTTGGCAGTCTAGATTAGGCAACCTGAGATGGATGTTTGGGATTTTTGAGCGATAACCGCTCCAGGTTCGGTCCCCCATACAGTGACAGAGTCACTGTCACCACAGCTCACACTTCCGTTTGGGGTTCATGGGTGAGTCTGCCTTGCAGCCAAAGTGTGTAGAGAACTCATGGGAATTGGAGATGGTGCCAATGACCCGGAAACGTGACGGACTGTGGGGGTCAGTAATAACGCCCTCGTGAGAGCTTTCAGGTGTCCGAACTGAGCACCACACCTACAAAAAAACGAAACAAAGGGTTTTGTTAGACGAAAATAGGACAAAACTAGATTATTACATTTTCGAAGAAGTGGTGAGTGGTGCTTGTCTGTGCAAAAGTCATTACCCTGATTCTATGGTTTTGTGGGAATTAGTATCAAATTTATTTATTTTTTTTACATTTTACAGTTTTTATTTCTATTTTATCTTTCAGTTTAGTCTTAATTTTGTTAGTTTACACTCCATCAATGTTAGTTTTTTTTTTTAAGGCTTTCTAGTTTCAGTTTTTTTTAGTTTTAGTATTTTAGGACCGGAAAGGTTATTGACTAACTGGTATCAGTTAAAAATGTTTAACTCTGATAAATTTCTCGGTACAGTCTAGTTATTGCTATCTCATTGCATTTTTATGTTTAACACAGGCAGGTTGTAAAAGTTTGAAGTATTATAATATACAATATAAACAAATACTTAATGGGTTATTATTTTTTTAGTTTGAGTCATGAAAATGTATTTTAGTTTACTTTTTTCCAGTTATGTTTCGCTATTTATCTATTTGTTCATTTATTTAGTTTTTTTAACAGTTAACAGACAAGTTAGTGCAATCTAAATTTATTTTTGCTATACAGTGCATCAAAAAAGAAAATAAAATATCTTAAAAAAAACTTCATTTTAGATTTCATTAAATAAAACAGCTCACTCTTAAGTCACAATGAAAATCAGGTTCCTATAGTAGGGGTCCCATTTTTTAAATATATCAGGATTTTTATTATTACTATTATTATTATTATTTTTGTGTCTGCCAGGCGAAAAATGTGAGTCCAAGTAATAGTATAACCACACCTCTCTTCAACAATCCACATTCAAGGTAAATGATAAATCAAGTAATATTGATTCTTGCCTTAGCAAACAGATCAAAAACCGAGACAAATAACAGAGACACCTTTAATTTGCAAAGGTTGTGACCAGTAAAACAACTAAATTCTTTAAAACAAGTCAAAAACAAGTGTAACATAGTAAGCAAATATTGGCACAAACCTGAGCAAATCCCACAAAAAACAGCTGATGATTGGTCATTCCAAGGGCAGGCAGAGTGGCCTCTTCACCATTCTTCTCGATCCAGTTGATATAGGCCTGCAAAGCAAGTGTGAAAACATTAGACCGCTAATAATTCTACATGCTACACCGCTCGCTGGGATCATAAATAAACAGAACCCTTGTGTCAATGGTTATTTTCCTCTCCATCAGAGAGGTTAACACAAGGACTTCTCCGGCCATATGCTTTGCGCATCTGCTCTGTAACCTATGACTTTTCAACCAACGGAAAGAATCCGAGTTGCTGGAGGTAGAGCGGCCCATTCCAAGCCACCTGTTGCACTGCGAGGCTTTCCAGCGAGATGGGATCACGACGGCCCCAAAGCTATCAAAGCCGCCAATGAGAAAACTATCGAGATCGTTATGCCTTTCGTATCAGATTCATCATTCGCCGTAGCTGTTTTCATGTTATGGAAAGTAACCACTGGTGACTCATCTCTTTATAACTCGCTGATGAACGAAACAATTCTGTTGATTGAATTAGATCGATTTAAATTCTAGTTCCAGCCAAGTCTTGTTCCACAACAGGATCTTCACAAACCTTATAAGCTGCCCTTAGGCCTCCGTTGTCAGCAATATTTTCTCCCAAAGTGTGTTTCCCGTTTAGAGGTTCTTTATTTATACTGTAGTTGCTGTACTGCTCCACCATGCACTGGGTCTGGTGTTTAAAAGCCTCCACTGAAGAATTTAGCCACCACTGACGCAAATTCCCATCCTTATCATACTCTCTTCCTGTAGGACATATTTAAAATGGTTTTAAAACACACATATATTGGTAAATGTTCACATACACATTACAACATTACAGTTTTCTATACAAGCCGATGTGTTTATTAACTTATTCATATTCTTACAAATTATAAAGGACAATACAATTATTTATATTATACTGTACATGAGAAAAAATATTATGAAATGTATGTATCAATATTTAATTTAATTTGTAAAATTTAATAATTAATATAAATAACATGTTTAAAGTATTAAAAAATAAAGGTAAATTAATTATTGAATCAGTGGCAGTGTGGCACATTTGATTTTTTTTTTTTTTTTACAGCAGTTGAATAAATCTTATATACTGGAGATCTAACAATCTGAAATAATATAGCGTAATAATTTAGAGAGAATAACTTTGTTACCTTGATCGTCAAAGGCATGGGTGAGCTCATGCCCCATAACCACACCTATACCACCGAAATTCATTGCTCTAGAAAACAACAAAGACACAATAAGATGAGGTCAGTGATATAACACTATTACAGGACAGGTTTTGTTAGTGGGAGCCTCTTACTTTGGCCAGGCATGGTTATAAAATGGAGCTTGGAGAATGCCTGCTGGAAGAACCATCTCATTCTTTGTGGGGTTGTAGTAGGCATTAACTGTAGGTGGAGTCATACTCCATCTGTACACAGACAGAAAAACACTGATCACTGGTGTACACATTAACTGACATTGGGGGAGTTTTAAATTAATAATTAACACATAAAAGTTCTGTCATCATTTATTCTGTATGATACTTTGGAAAATGACTCTGGGTCTGATGTTGTTTTGTGTTCTTTTGTATTCCACAGAAAAACAAAGTCAAACAGGTTTGGAACGACATGAGGGTGAGACAGTGACTAAAACATAAAACAAAAACTATTACAAATTGTTTTCGGTAACTGAAATAAAGCTGAAATGAAATGGAAATATTAGATGAATAATTCCATTTAAACTTTAAAAACTTGAAAAACGAGAAATGACGCCTTGGCAACTAACTGAAATAAATACGTTTAAGTACTAAAATGACTAAAACTGAAATAAAAATAAATAACAGCTAAATAGAACACTAATAAAAATAACAAAAGTGCATTAAAATAATACTAAAGTAGAAAAATCAAAGCTAATTCAAAATATGAAAAAAATCTTTAGTATGGTACTAAAATTAGTAAATGACAAAATAATTTTCATTTTTGAGTGAACTATCCCTTTAAGAGGTGTGTGTCAGCATCATCTTGTGTGTGAGCTGAACTGATACTCACTGATCTCTGTTGGGGACTTTTCTCAGCTGGTTAGCAGTCACTCGAGCAGAGAAGTTGTAATATTTCATGACGTTTTGAAAGTAAAGATCTGAAACAACATCAAACTGAAATACAGTTTGGAGGCAAGATGTCAGTTCAGGCTCTCTGCAACATTAAACCACATGATTTTCCATCAACCAAAAGCAAGCAAAAATTAAGAAAATGTATACATACATCATTAAACACCTTGTCCAGCTCTTTGGGGTTCATAATAAACTTTGGATAACCAACCATGTTGTATATTGCATCTGCCTAGAGACAAGAATAAGAAAATGAACACTTCATTACTTTAACGCCAGGTGGCATTAAAGAGCATCAATAAGCATAAAAACCTTTATATAGTTCTGTTGCTCAATAGGATTTTTTTTTTGCCAATTTTTATAAAAACAAAGAAAAATTGTTTCTTAAACTAAAGTTAATACAAATTAGGACAAGTCTGAGATTTTAGCTAGGTGTTGATTTCAGCAAGATCCATCCCTGCAGGCGACAGCGGTGAAAAACATCATGTGGGATTGTGCTGTTGGTTCTCACCTTTTCTTTGGCTGCTTTTTTTGTCTCGGGATCCATCCAGCTGACAGTCTTCAGGCTGTCTTCAAAGGCCCATTTGATATCGGAGACCATATCTTCAACCTGACAAACATATCAGTTGAGAATATAGTGTATAGGCCTGGAGGAAAAGATGGGGATGGTGTGCAAAACACCACAAGACACTCACAAAAGCTTTGCTGTCTTCGGAAAAAGTAGCTTTGACAAAGAGCGCCCCGAGAGCAAAGCCCAGAGCGCTATCTGTGTCGCTGGTGCAAAGTTTCCAGCGTGGTGTGCAGCTCTGGAAAACACAAAGGTGATATATTAGCAACCAACATCCTCATTTGCACCCAAGTCTTCTCAATGTGACATTTACATTTAGACATTCAGTCGACGCTTTTATCCAAAGCGACTTACAAATGAGGACAATGGAAGCAATCAAAATCAACAAAAGAGCAATGATATGCAAGTGCTATAACAAGTCTCAGTTAGCTTAATGCAGTACACGTAGCAAGTTTTTTTTTTTTTATCATATAAAAAATTTAAAATAAAACAGAATAGAAAAAGAATAGAGCAAGCTAGTGTTAAAGGCCTTTTTTGCTTTTGTTAATCAGAAGTCAGAATTATAATTGTATAATAAATAAAAAGAAAACAAATCGATAGAATGCAAAAAGATTAGAGAAGCAAGTGTTTTTTTTTTTTTTTTTAAAGAAAAACAAGCAGTTAGTAAATAAATAGAGTGCAAGTCTAAAAGGGCAAGTTTTTTTTTTAAACAAAGAATAGAATTAGAATAGAGAGTGCTAGAGGTAGAGGGTCAAATAAGGATGGAAGAGATGTGTTTTTAGTCGATTCTTGAAGATGGCTTAGGACTCAGCTGCTCGGCTCAACTGAGTTGGGCAGGTCATTCCACCAGGAGGGAACAGTTAATTTAAAAGTCTGTGAAAGTGATTTTGTGCTTCTTTGGGATGGCACAATAAAGCGCCGTTCACTTGCAGAACACAAGCTTCTATTTCATTTCACAAACAATTTACAGGTCTGAACTTCATAGAGTACATAGATACATAGAGTCTAGTTTCCATCTGTACACCATAGGAATTATTAGCGCTTGAGGAAATGATCACAAATAATTTGTTAAAGACATAAATTTGCATGTAACAAGCTAAACAGAAGGGTTTTTTCCCTCTTTATCAGCAAAACAAGACTTTCATTGTTCTCTTGAATGTCGCTTGAGTATGACGGCCAGAGACGGGCAGCAACAGGACTTGTCACCCATTCCACTTCCCATCTCAGAAACTGAGGTGCTAGAACAGTTAATAGCTCCTAATGCAAGACTATGACGGTAAAACAAAGTTTTAGTTTACTACGGAAATTAGTAATTAAGTGAAAATGAAAATTCTGTCATCATTCACTTTCATTAAACCTGACTTTAAACTTTTGAACAGCAGTGTAAATATTTTCCTCGTAAGTCCACAAAAAGAAACAAGATGTTCTATTTTCTATGCAGTGAAAGTCAATGGTGGCGCTTTCTCTCTCTCTCTCTCTCTCTAGTCATCCGAAATCCTATTATAGTAACTTTAAAGGGATAGTTTACCCAAAAAAGAAAATCCTGTCATAATTCTACTTTTGTGTTCTGTAGAAGAAAGTAAGTCATACAGGTCTGGAATGACAAGAGGGTGAGTACATGACAGAAGATGTGAAGATTATCAGTGAATAATGGCTTAATTTTGGTATTTTAAGCTGTCATGTGACTTCAAAAGTCTCAGAATCCAGCACAGACACTGCATGGACTACTTTTACAATATTTTTAATGGTACTTTTTGTCATTTTGGGGTTTTGACAGCTCCATGTCACCATTCACTTAGAGAAAGCAGAGTCAACGTTCTGCCTAACATTTATGTTCCTCAGAAGAAAGTCATACAGGTTTGGAACAACATGAGGGTGAGTAAATGATGACAGGATGTTTCATTTTTGGACTAAGTAACTATCACTTTCAATGCAATAAAAAAAGCTATACCCACAATAACATACCAAACTGTGCTGAAGGTGACCGACGTTAAGGTTCCTCTCTCTATCTCTTATCATAACCCATCACACATACACACATGGTCCAAGGCTCTTTGGTTTGTTATTTCAGCCTGACCCCAGTGGAAAGTGAGGCTGGGGCAACAGGATCTCTTCCTGATAAGAGTCTGAATAACCTGGCTCCCTGCAGAACAACACACTCCCTCTCCATACACACCAACGCTAATACCAGTTCATCTGAATGAAGTCAGAGAGAGGGAGGAGTAGAAGAGAGAAGACGAGGGCAACACATCACCTCCCTCTTATGCTGAATAAAGCACACTGACTATTTTAATAACTGGGTAATTTTGTTTTAATATAAAATGATTTCTGCACCAAATGATCCTTGTAAGAGGAAGAATCAGTGTAGAGTAGTAGTGTAAAATATTTAGTCATCATTTACTACATTTACTTCTAATCCTGTATTATTTTTAGACACAATATCCAGAGCTACACTACCATTCAAAAGTTTGGGGTCAGTAAGATTTTTAAATATTTTTTAAAGAAGTCTCTTAAGCTTACTAAGGCTGCATTTTTAAATACAGATGTTTCAAAAATACAGATTTTTTTATTCTCACTAAGACTGCATTTATTTGATAAAAAATTGGCCTGCTATAGACTATTGGCTGTGCTAATTAGAAGGCGGCCACAGCTGTTTTCACTTTAGTCTTTTACACTGTGTATTTACCTGATGTCTGTGCACTGACACGGAAGCGTTCAGCCCTTGTGTGAAGACCAACGAGTGTAAAGACCTGCGACTTTACCTGCGCGACTTAAAATCACTTTCCAGAACATTCTCGTTCACCATTCCTGGCTGGTGGAACGATCTTCCCACCCCTATCCGGATGCTGAATCCCTGACAATTTTCAAGCGACAGCTGAAAACTCATCTCTTTCGAAGCTACTTGACTTCATCATCATCATCATCATCATCATCATAAAAAAATAAAAAATAAAAAAATAAAAATTCTCTCTTTATTTATTCCTTCTCTTTCTAGCTTGTACTTATTTGAACAATGTCTAGAAACTTGGTATTACAAGCACTTCCTGTATCTGTTTGCCTCTTTAAGAAGAATCGCTTTATGTATCCCCCAATTGTAAGTCGCTTTGGATAAAAGCGTCTGCAAAATGACTAAATGTAAATGTAAATGTAAAAATACAGTAATACAGTAGTGTATAGCTCTTATATCTCATATTTTCAGACTTGACAGTTAGTCATATGACAACAACCAAGCGCTTGGATTCCATGTCAAACCTGACATTGATGACAGATAAGATTTTTTAATTGAACAGCTTCATAATACGGAGAATAGAATAATGAATAATAGAGAATAATGGCAAAAATGTGTATCCATTTCTCAAATTTTATTTCATATAGCTATCGTATGACTTCAGAAGACTTTGAATATAGTGCACAAGTCATATGGACCACTTATATGATACTTTTATGGTGCTTTTTGCAACTTGGCAGTATTACTCTGCATAAGGTCAAAAGTCAATTTATCAAAGAAACTGAGGTTAAAAAAACGCATATATATACATATATATATATATATATATAAATGTGTGTGTGTGTGTGTGTGTGTGTGTATGTGTGTAGACAGACAGACAGACATATGACAGACAGACAGACAGACAGATAGATAGATAGATGGGGTGAACTATTTCTTTGACTGTGCAAATTTTACATTGGCAATAAAGACTAGAAACATGACTCGTTCAGAGGCAGCAGTGCCTTGGGCTGACAGACAGAAGCCTTGATCTTCATTTCTCACCTTCTTGGTGCCATACATGACTTCAAGGAAGCGCTGTTCTGCATCTTGGAACCTCTGGTCTAAGATGGACACCATTTTCCGCACCACTTTCATGATCATGTAGTTATTCAATACGCTGGGGAAGACACATTAGCTTTGATCTTAGCTAACAGACAATACAGGTCAGTTACATAGACTGGCCTAAAAAACCAACACAATTCTAGCTAATGTTGGCTTACCTCTTGTTGGTGTTGCTGATGAGTTCTGAGACTTTCTGGAGGTATTCTTTAGCGTACACAACCACGGGTTCAGAGTAATTTAGAGCAACAGGGGCGAACACTGCAGAGAGGAAAGGCATCCAATCTACTGCAGGAGCCAATGTCTACAGCACAGACACAAACACATGACTGATATCTCATATCAAATGCAACATGACAATTAATGAAAGAATGCTTTTTATGTCTCCAAAGGAAAGGAAACATAACTGCATGTTCTGAAAATGTTATTCTCTTTTTACTAAATCACAATATATGAGATGTATCTCTCATTGAAGGAAACATTTAAATTAGTGGCTCTCAACTGGTTTTGTTTTAAGCGCCAGTTTGAGTCTGTATGATTTTTATTTAAAGAAAAAAAAAGAAATTCATACTTTATTCAGCAAGGATGCATTAAACTGATCAAAAATGACAGTAAATACTGAATTCTATTCAACAAAGAAAAATGATGTGGCACTGAAGACTGGAGATATAGCTGAAAATTCAGCTTTGCAATCACAGGAATAAATTACATTAAAGAATATATTACAATAAAAAACTTGTAATAATATTTCACAATATTACTGTTTTTACTGTATTTTAACAAACAAATGCAGAATTGTTTGCTTAAGGACATGAAAAAATCTTATGAATGGTAGTATATGTTGAACAGAAAAACTGCAAAACTGACAATTTTTCTGTTCAAATAATTTGTAGTTGGCACAAAAGTTTATCCATTGTCAAGCAATCTGCCCGTGTTAGTATCTGGATAATTTGACTGTTTTCAGCCAAGTGACAGATGAATTTGAGCCAAAGTAGAGTTGGATCTACCATTGGACCATTGTCCTATTTTGCCATACCTATGAATTTCATTAATTGCATTTAGCATTTCCATCTACGACCCCATCAGAACAGACATGTGACCATTTTTGGGGCATGACCAACCAGTTTAGAATCATAGATTTCAATCCAACAGTAGTACAGTAACCGATCAGTACTCACAGCTAACTCTTTGGCTTGAATTTTATGGTAGATTTTCATCTCGTCACGTCGCTCATCCTGAGGGACTGTGATGTTTGCCAGGGCCGTTTCAAAGTCTATGATCTCCTGCATCATCTTCTGAGAGGTCTCCTCTGAGCCGCCCAAAAGCATTCCAAGCTCAACCAAGTAGTTCAAGTATGCTTTTAAATACTGACAAAAGAATAAGAACACAAGCTTTAGACCACAGCAGAACATTTCCCACGTTCATAAACAACAAAGTTTACCTTTTCATTGGCTGTCTTATTGAGATAGTATTCCCTAGAGGGAAGTCCCAATCCTGACTGATCCACCTGTGGAAAAAGAGGAATCGGAGCATCAGCTGCGTTTCCATTATCCCTCAACAAGCTAAGCTACAGTGACATGCATCACGATATAAAGCCTGTTATAATATATTCTGACAGCCATCATAAAACAAAATATGATATCTAAAACAGTGCAGAGGTTCCCCTAGACATTTAAGAATTTATGTTATTGTGATCAAAATAATATAACTATAAGTGTTCCCACCTGGATGATGTTGCTGTTGGAGCTTTTTGAGTCTGTGCTGACAAAAACAGTGAAAAAGGGGGAGGTTCGGAAATTGGCTGACACAGTCCGTAAAACCTCCTGGAAGTTATCTTTCTCCCACGGGCCTTTCAAGCCCCAACCTCCTGTCTGGAAAAACAATCTTCCATTATTAAGAATTATATCCCAGAATAAGTGTAAAAGCAGGTTTTCATTAGTGCCAATATATTTACAACAGATCTTTTGAGTTTCATATTGTTAAATAAGGTTTGTGCGTGCATCTCAGGTCACCTGATTGATGAGATCCTGAAGTGGTTTTGCTCCAAGTGCTTCAATTTTCATCTCGTTCATACAAGCTTGGTAATACCACTGGGCTTTTTGTTCCGCTTTGCTCAGGCTTGTCATGCTGGTATTCTCTGAATTTAACAAATGAAGAAAAGTTCAATGACAAGAATCTTCATGAACCCTCAAAGCAAAGTGAAACAAAGCCTATAAGTTGGTAGGAGCCTTTCAAGATGAAACATCATTACTGCTTTATTTGTACAGTGGGCTCTAAAAGTCTGAGACCCCATTGAAAATACGGTTCTTGAAATGAGTGTGAATCTATGATTCAAAATCAAAAATAAGAGGACGTGAGTCATTTCAGACACAAGTTATTTACTGAACGATTACATGAAACGTATACGTAATCGCAAAAAAAAAAAAAAATGAAAATAAATAAAAAAACAAAAACAAAAAACATTTAAAATTTATTATATTAAATAAGTTAAAATTATATGAAATTAAATAATAATTATATTAAAAAAGTAATTAAATTAAATAAAAATAATTGAGAATGTTGTGGATACATAATTAATTTTTCATATTTTTTTATTTAAAAATATTAAAAATATTACCTAATAAGTTCCTCATGATGGCCATGTTGTGTTCCCACAAGTTGCTGAAAGGACCCCAGCGGGACTTGCCTTCAGGTAACGGGTTTTTCCTCACCCATCCCCCACATGCAAAGTTGTAGAAATCCTGGCAGGGGTCCACTGACCGGTCAAGAGCCCCCAAGACCGTACTTGCAACACTAACACAAGGCTCTGACAGGCACATTCCCGGATGTGCTGTTAAAACAATATATGTATATAAATATACTTTTATTTCACATATAACTGCCAAAACAAATAAGAAAGTCTTCCCGATGTCTCTTTCACTCAGCGTATTTTACACTAAAGGGTAATCATAAATGGGATTTTGGTGCGCTACACTTTCGGTGCTGTAGCTCATACTGCATTCAAGCTGCACCTCATAAATATGCTCTGAACATCTCTTTGAGGAAGATCCCGGGACATGAACCCATCTGGAACTATTCACTTATCAAGGCTTGATGCCAAAATCTGGTTTCTGTGAAAAGAACTGTATTTTTTCAGAATCCAGATCAAATGAAGAGGCCACACAGAGAGTCTCTAGCAGTGACCCGTGGAGAGCCATCGATTAAACCCAAGAGACTGTGTTTTCTCTTCATTGAATACTAACTCAAAGTCATTAGCACATATGGGTGATATGCGAGCTATTATGGCAAATATTTGTGTCTGCGTAACAACATTAGTCATTTGCAGCACCAATATTTTAATCTGTGAAACGATTTTCTCAGACATGTTAAGAAAACTTAATTTACAGGCACGCATGTCTGTGTTCACTTTGGCCTGGAGGCTTTGAGGTTAGGCATGATTCCATTGAATGAGGCTATGCAAGTATTAAGTTTAATATTGAAAATAATTGGGGTTAAAGGGCACTGTTTTTATTCAGCATGTGGATGCAGAGAGAATGCAGCTACAATAGATTCACTGTAAGCTCTTCTAAGAAAAACATTTGGCCCAAAAGATGTATCCCTAGCTCCTAATCTGAAGAGATAGGGCCAAGAAACTGGAGGCCTGAGGGAGGCTAAGGAAATTGGAGGTAAACAGTCTGACACAAAGTCATTGTTCTTTCATACAATGATTTGTCATGGTTGGGCAACAGTGGATGGCTGGATAGCAGGAAGTGGCATTCAGTTCACTCTGCAATAATAACTTGGAGCTGCAATAAAAGTGAGTAAAGGGAGGTCCAGAGCATATACAGTCTTAACTTAAAAAAAAAGTATGTACTCTGATAAATATAACAGGAAAGACTATGAGCAAATACTGATTTAATTCAGGCATTTAAACTTTAATTCAGGTATTTAAACTTAAACTTGAAATCTCAAAGACTGTAAGGTAGTAGAGAAAGCATTTTTGGTAACACTTTCTATGTGTATTTATAATACATTATAAGGGTATTCTTAAGGCATTATAATGAATGCATAATGCATTATAAAAAAACGTATAATATGTTATATCAACTCATGAATAATCATAACAACAGTTATAATACATCATAATACTTACGTATTTGTGGTTATAAGTTTAAGAGTATGATTATTTATAACACACAATGAACACCATATTAAATCTACTTCATTTACAGAATAATGGACTGTATCATATCTTGACATTGTTTATTTAAGATCTGCACAGTATCTTACTACAGCTTGTGAGTGGTTAGATGTTGAGTGTTTCCTGTGGAGCTAATGTTAATTAACTGATGTGAGCTTTATACTCCAACTGAAAAAAATGCAATGTTTTATATGGTTACATTTTATTTTGATGGTCCCCTTAATCAATCGACTATAAGCAACTTTGCAACTACATGCCAACTAACTCTCATTAGAGTATTAGTATGCTCAAGAATGGTAGAATCTAGTATGGTAGAATAAGTTGACGTACTTGCAAAGACACTTATAGTCAGTTTATCTGTTGGTTGACCATCAAAATAAAGTGTTAGCATATATTTACAGTAGCAGACATACTAATACTCTAATGACTGCTAGTTGATATAGTTGCAGAGTTACTTATCAACAGCTGTTATGTTACAATTAACATATTATATATTACATAACTTTATTACTTTTTAAATAATTTATCTACATATATATTTTATTATATTATTTATTAATTTAATAATACATTTATATGTACAATTTTATACACACATGTATACATATATGTAAAAGCTAATTAGAAAGTAAGTACTGTTATTTTAAATTAGTACATACTAACTGACATACTAACATACTAGATTTATTTTGAGTTCTGAACACACACACTGCAATAAATATTAACGCTAACAACACATGTGCATGTAACATATGCACCATCAACTCACATTCTTTATAGTGCAGACCCAAAGTCATGATACAAATGAACAGAGCCACAGACAGAGCGCACACGATGACCACTAGCTTCCTCTCAGTGTGGGTTTTCTCTGCCCAGCACCGGAGTCCCAGACCACGCTGCAGCCCCACCTGATAATCACATTATGAGAAAATAAGGGTTAAGACTGAAATAAATATCCCTGCAAATAAGCAATGTTACATAGATGACGCAAATGACACTGAAACGTACTCCAAAGTAGTGATCTTTGGCAAAGAACTGGTCCTTGAGGGTAAAATGTTTATTTTGTGTTTCTTAAAGAAAGTGATATCTTTGACATTTTGTATAACACTGTGCAGGTTTTATATTATATTGCATGGGAAAATGATACATGATCGTGTCCTACAAAAATATTAAACTTTGGTGGGGCCCAACACTATTGTCTTTCTGCTCCAGTTCTTACAGATCAAATTCCCACTTCAAATGAAGAATGAATGGATGATCCCAAATAATAAAAAATAATTTTTGCTGAATACTTCATGCGAGTCATTTAACAACTATGATCTTAACATTTCTGTATTTAAATCCTATCTGGAAGAGTGGACTGTTTACTTTCATTGTAAGTGTGTTACTGTAAGTACAATTATTTTCTTTGGTAATCGAAAGCATATAGCAAATGCCGTCTACAGAAATTAACTGGTATTGAACCCGGAACATTCATTTAAGAAATATCGGCATCGAATTAAGCATTAAATCCTTAGGAAAGAAGCTTACCCATAACAACAGTGATAAACTTCCTACTTGCTAGGAAAGGCTCTCTTCGAGGAAACACTGCCAACACTCAACTTGTTTATTATTTCTAAATCTTCATGCACATTGTTTTACTTGTGCTTTAAAACTCATTAGGATCTAACAAACAAAAACATCAGCATCTGGTGATGCAAAAATTTAGAATCAAAAATGGTGAAGCAAAAATGCAGCTAGCATTTGTTTTGACTTATACACAAATCAAAAAATCAATTATGTACTTATCAGAAGTAAACAGAAGTGTCAGGCATATTCACATGACACAAATAGAACAAACACTTCTGGGTAAAAAAAAAAAAAGCTTCAACAGAATGAGGAAAGACTTAGGCTACATTCAGTAGTGCTAACACACGGCGGATGTTTGACAGGAAAACCATGAGGAAGTAATTTGAGACACTGTCCTTGTCTTCCACTGGAACCACTAAGGATTTGTTGTTTTTCAAGAGTTTGGCTTAAAAATGATCACTAGGTCAATGGATGGCCTTATATGTCAGTACACATACATCAAGAAACATAAGTTATAAAAATAGTTTAAAAAATGAACTCTCACCTGCATGGTAGAGGTGTGGTAGATCCCATCGGAGCCGGTGTCCAACAGCTCCTCTTCATCCAGTGTGGCTCGTTTGTACGTTGACATCTGAAATGTTAAATGAAGAATAGATTCCCTCAGTGATTCCATAATTAAACCAAATCTTCTAAAAGTGTTTCAGCAGCTATTGGGAACCCTGGGAACGTTTGTCCTCCTGAGTTCCATCAGGAGAAGATTGTGAAGCTAGTTTTCCCCAAGGACTAGAGAAAACTCTCGGCTCAGCGTGTCTTGTGCTGGGTGATCTCTGTGTGAATGGGGTTTCCTCTTCCACCCCCACTTCACCTCATCCCAAGCCAAATTTCCAACCCCCCAATGTCAGCTACACCTATAAGCTCCAAAGCATGGTCAGCTCGATCTTCACAACAAACATGTGTTGGTTGATTTCAAAGCGCTTTCCTTAGTGCAGCCCTCCTAGTTAGGAATCCTAAACAAGGGATTCCTGGGAAGCTTGAACTCCTTCCAGTCTGCGACAACACTAGCGTCAGTAAAAAGGCAGGAACTTGTGAAAAACAGGAAGGAGAGAGGACCTGATGAACATACGTGAGGGAGAGTGAGGGTGTGTGAGTATACACATGTAAGAGAGAGAATGTGTGCATTCCACAATGGGCTTTCATTTAGAACTGGGAGGGAACAGTTAGAGGTGAGTTTCCACCCTCTCATTCCTACCAATAGGACATTACAGGGCAGAGGGCGGGGCTTGTACAAGGCCACTCCCATAACATGTTCTTCAGTTGCCAGATTAGAATACAGTCACAATACAGTAAGTCAGTCAGCATTGCTTAACATATACACACGTGCATGTATTTTTTTTATTAAATTTCACATTAATATTTGATGATAAAAATTTGCACATGAAGAATTGACAACAAAACACACACACACACACATATAAATTCATAATTTTTATATTAATGATATAAACTAATATAAATGATAAATACATTAAAGTAGGGATGTAACGGTATGAAAATTTCTTATCACGATTATAGTGACCAAAATGATCTCGGTTATCAGTATTATCACGGTATTGTTGAAATGTGCTGGAAATGTTCAAAAAGTACTGACACACAAATCATTTCACCAAGTTGTACATTTAAAATCAACAAACAACAAATAAAATGAGCTTTTGTTTGCATAACTAAAACAACTGCCATTGATGTCCGGATTTTAAATGACAACATGACTGACAACAGTTTATCTAATAACATGTTCAAATATCTAATGTAAATGTCAAATATCTAATGTAATAAAACTGTGTTTTATGCTTCAGGGCTCCAGACTCATTCTTCCCACTGGTCGCTCTTTTGCGACTAACTTTCTCAGTTGGTCACACCAGCACATGATTTGGTCACAATATTTTAATTTTTAGGGATTAATCAATGCATGCTGATGAACTTTTATCATAGTTTATAGTTATATGAAAACGAAAGTGGTTAACATTCAACCCCTTCTTTTTCATCAGTATTATTTGTGATTTGAATTTTGTGAACGGGAGTTTCTCTTTAGCTATGTTATAAGCCGGGCTTCGGATGCTTTCACTTTCGAATTCGCGATCTTGGCATCACGTTTTACAAGAAAAGATAATTGTCTCATTTGCTTACATACATCTATACATATTTCACTTTTTTAGACTAAAACAAAAGATGGATTCATTGTTATTCTTAATTAAAAAGCATAACAACAATAAAACAGTAAGATACAATGACAAACTAACTTAGAAACGGTTATTAACAAAAACGAATATGACGAGGCATGGCATAGCCTACACCACATTCTGTATTACCGACTAATAAATTACAGAACGTTTAGCAAACACTGAGGAACTTGCTGTCGGTGACAGTGCTTGCATGTTTTTTGCCCTCACAAGAATACCAGCATGTTCACCTTTGGTTTAAGAAGCGGTCTTTTAACTTACTTCAGCATGAAAACCATCCATCGTTTCCTCAATATTCGCTTAATTTTTGCTTATATTTGAGTATAAACCATGTTCTACACTCTATAAGTGCTCTGCAGTTCAAACGAGTAGCGCGGTTTCGTTATGCTTTCAGTTTCATTTGCCTTTTGATGTTTCTCATATGCAACAGAAATGCAGCGCTTATGAGTTAAACAATGCGGTGGTCGCG